AGAAGAAGAAAAAAAATCCATTCGTGGTTTTTTTTCTTCGCGGCAATTATTGATATATACGTATATATCTTAATCAAGTCACGTGAGCACCTTTTCTAACAATCGTAAATCATTAGAGATAAAAATTCTTTATTCAAAAACTTGCAGCAGTCAGTGCACATTGTCAACTTTGAATGATAAATATCGTGATATGAAATTTTCTTAGAAATTTTCATTGTTATTATAATCTCCCCATGATTTATGAAATTTTATAATCGAACTTGTTGGAAACGTGATGAAACATTAAAAAAAAAGAAAAAAGAAAAAAAAAAAAAAAGAAGGAAATATATACAAATACAAATTAGCAAAAAAAAGTAGTAGAAAAAAAAGAAATATTAATACTACGATGAACATATTCGCGAAACAATTGTACATAAAGTAAATGCATAAATAATAAGTAAAAAATTGTAATGAGCATATGTATAAATACATATTTTTAACATTTTTATCTTTACTTCGATTACTTAGATATCTTTCTTTTTTTTTTTTTTTAGTTCTGCTAAATTTGTAAAATATTGTATTATATAATAAATATATTAATTTTATAAATGAGAGATAATATGCGAATTAAAATTTTCAATTTATATTTCTTGGACTATTTACATAAGACTCTTTCGACGAGAGGGACATATATGAAAGAACGTCAACATTGAATGTTGTAATGTCTCTATAAGTATATTATCTTATCGGTGTTGCCAAACAAGTGAAAGATATTTAATAATTCTTTTCTTTTTTTTTTTTTTGTTTCTTTTTACTGAGTTTTAATGATATATCGATACAGTCCATGGCACAAGTATTCGCAAACTCTTTTAAAATTAATCTATTTATTTATTTGATCAAACAAAAATATTCTGAATTCTTTTTCCTTTTTTTTTTTTAAATATTTTTAAAACTATTTTCCATCAATATATATATATATATATATATATATATATATAATTTTTTTTTATAGAATTTTTATACAAAGATATATTTATATAACAAAGATATATTTGCAAAGAAAATATTCCAATAAGCGATGCGCCAAGAGTTTTTAAGTGATTTAACAAAAACAAATCAATTATTCTATCACGATTTGTAGTTTTACAATTTGAAAGATAACAAAATAAGTTAGAAATAGAAAAAAAGAAGTCTAACAATAGATTAATTGATTTTAAAGACACTTTTTATCTTTCGCCTGATGTCTTTTGTATACGAATAAATTACAAAAAGAACGGAAAGAGAGAGAGAGAGAGAGAGAGAGAGAGAGAGAGAGAGAGAGAGAGAGAGAGAGAGAGAGAGAGAGAGAGAGAGAGAGAGAGAGAGAGAGAGAGAGAGAGAGAGAGAGAGAGAGAGAGAGAGAGAGAGAGAGAGAGAGAGAGAGAGAGAGAGAGAGAGAGAGAGAGAGAGAGAGAGAGAGAGAGAGAGAGAGAGAGAGAGAGAGAGAAAAGAGATCAATATATTTTAGGAAATATTCAAAGGAAATATTTCTTTCTAAATTAATCGTATAAAATATAAAATAGAATAATAAGTATATAGATAACGAAATACGAAATTTTCTGTACAATGATTATTAAATTCATTTAACGTGTCACATTAATCGATCATCCTCTTATCAGTAACATAAGAAAACTTCATTGAACACAAGAGAAGTATAAGTTAAACTAGATCAAAGAGATTAACCTTAATATCAAAAGCTTATGTATACCGTTGGAAACCTTAGAACATTATTGTTCATATGCTAGGTAAACGAGAAAGGAAAAAAAAAAAAGAGAGAAAAAAAAAAGAAAAAAAGAGAAAGAAAGAATGAAAACGATGAGAAACAGGAATGGAAAATCCTATAACGATACGGATGTCCCAGTTAATTTTGTGCGATTCTAATAAACGTGACACACACACATACACATGCACGCACACACATATATACACCCACACACCCACGGACATACACGGATTTCCTACGAAACCTAAAAAAGTTCATTACGTAATGAAAGAAGAATAAGAAGAAAACTATGAATGAACGATCTAATTCTCTATAATACTATTCACACATTTCTATTTTCTTTCTTTCTCACCTTTACTCATTTCTTTTAATAATTAAATCCATAAATTTGTAATAAAAATAATTAATAATTTGTCATGCATATATATATATATATATATATATATATATATATATATATATAGTAATATAAATTAAATAAATAAAGGATGGACCTAAAGTTTCTCAGATGATTTTAAAAATTAATTTTTATGTTTCAATATTTGTTGATTTTGTAGTTGCAATATGGAAAAAAAAAACAAAAACAAAAATTAGTCTAAAAAATTTCCAAAAAGAATGTAATTGATTTTTTTTAATCAGCCAAGAACTTTTGATTCGTCTAAGAACTTTTAGATTATCTTCTGTAGTTATATATATATATATATATATATATATATATATATATATATATATATATATATATAGTGCTTAGGTTGATAGATCGTAGCTGGTGTAACAAATTGATGATGATGAATTTGTCCTAAGAACGATGAACAACTAAAACACGAACTCGTTAAAAAGCTTCTTATTACAATGTTAGATCCTTTTCCTAAATCGAAAAATTCTATATTGATAAACATACAAGTGTCTTAACCATTTGATTGCTATTACAATTTTCATTGACTATACATATCTATTCACATAAATCGAAATTGATCTTTAATATAATCATTATCGTTTCGAATCGAAATCGTGATCGATAAGAATTAAAGACACTTAACAGAACACCTGTGACTAAGCGTTTGATTAGAACGTGAATTTGTTATCGTTGTACCGTGAAAAAAAAAAAAAAAAGAAAAAAGAAAAAGGAGAAAAAGAAACATTTCAAACTTTATTTATTCTCTCTCATATACATACGCATATAATACATATATATATATATATATGTGTATGTATATAATATATGTATGTATATATATATATATATATATATATATATGTATATAACTAAGTACGTTCTTACTTACAATGTGTTAAAGAAATAAACAATATTTCGAAGCAGAAATTCCTATCGAGAAGATTGCTATCGGATTAATGTACGGAGATAGGCCTTGAAAATGATCTAAAAATAATCAATATAGACTGACCAGCAGATCGGATGGAAATCGTATTATTTTTAAGGTAGAAAATATATAGAGAGACTACGTACACGGATTAACTTCTACTCTATAATCCTTTTTGTTTAACTATCATAGAATTTGTTTGTGACAATTGTTTTTCCTCTTTTCTTTCTCATTTCTTTATTTTTTTTCTTTTTGCTCTTTTACCTTTCTCTTTTTTTTTTCGTTTTTCTATCTTATCAAAACATCAATTAAAAATTGTACTCTCTTTATTGCAAATGAAATTACATTTAATAGCCTCATGGAATTTAATTTTTCGCGACAACTTAACGAATAATTTGCGCTTCTTATAAATGATAAAATATTGCGTTTTAAAATACTATTATCAATTCGAATATTAAAAGAACGATTGATTATAAGATCGATTAAAATAATAAGATAATCGAGTCGTAAATTATCTTACGATTTATCGAAAAATAAATTAAAAAAAAAAAGAGGAAGAATAAGACGAATCAATTAAAAGTTACATACATACGTATATAAATACTTACCGAGGAACTTTGACCGATGTAAGATCACGATTTACGACGAGCCGGCGTTCGTTATGTCGTTGATAGGCGCACGATATTATAGAATTCTTTTGCTTGATGTAACCGTAAATGATATCATGACTTTTGTAAAGACTAGTCTTGAAATAACGTGTAACACGAACAAACTTCGAACAGGATCCCAGCTGATTATCGATATTAACGATCAGCTGTTCGCCAGATGAGGGATATTTTGAATTCGTCATTTCTAGCATGATTTTCACTGAGATTATCGATCTTAATGATCGTTCTCATAAATATAATTTCTTTTCCCTCTATCTCTCTTTTTTTCACTTATATATACATATATACTTTCGGTACACAGACTCGAGGAATTACTTAAAGAAGAAGTCAGAAAAAAAAGAAAAAAAAAACAAACAAACAAACAAAACAAAACAAAACAAGGAGAAAAGAAAAAATAAAATCACGAAACGCGAGTAACGACGTTTCGAAGTAAAGTAATCAATTTGTGGGAGGAGAACGATAAGAAACGTGCTAAAATATCGTTATCGGTTCTCGCATGTTAAACGAACGAACGAACGAAATGAATGTTATCCCTCCCTCCCTCCCTCCCTCCCTTCCTCCCACCCTTCTTCTCTCTCCTCTTTTAACAATTCGTCAATAGAGCTTAAAAGATACCTTAGGAATTATAAACCATAGTCGTAGGTCGAGGCTAATCTCTTAGCCAATTGTCATAGACCCAAGAATCATTTCTAATCTAAAGTAGAGAGAACATTTCCTTCCTAAAGAGAGAGAGAGAGAGAGAGAGAGAGAGAGAAGAGAGAGAGAGGGAGAGAGAAAGAAAGACTACTCGTCGACGAGTCTCATCAATTTTCTCATACTTCTTTACGAGCCAATAGAGTTTATCTTCCAACTTCTTCCGTCGTTAGCCATTAATCTTACAAGCTTTAGTCACCTCGATTTTCGACTAACGCTAAGTCTAATATCGTTCTTCTTTCATGATCAAGTTAGATAAACTTAGATTAAACGATCCTAAAATGTTAACTTTAAAGGATAATGGATGAAAATTTTCCTCGTATATCACCGACCTTGACATCGAGAGAATGAAGTAATTTATATATATAAAAATATATATATATATATCCTTATCTCTTAGATAAAAAGAATATAAAAATTCGATGATAAATATTAATAAATTTGTATGTGACAGAATGTACGATGGTTCGATCAAAAAAAAAGAGACAGAAAAAAAGAAAAAAAAAAAAAAAAAAGAAAAAGAAAAAAATAAAAAATTTCTACGAAACAAGAATAGAATACTAGAATGAAACTTGCCCATTGACGACGGAAGAGGATTCAGAAGGGTTCGGTGGTCCCGACACTTGGACTTTGGGCACGGTATAAGAGTCGAACTGTCCATGAGAATGTCCATGCCCGTAACCTTGACCCTGATTTTGGTTGTGCGTCGTGGTGGAATCATCGCTGTCGCTACTCTGCGGATGCTCCGATCCAACGCCGCCACGAGGTCTGAAACCAAGAGATCAAAACACGAATTTAATCGAGGATCTAATAATAATAAATGAGAATTTCTTTGTTATTTAAAAAAAAAAGAAAAAAAAAAGGGAAAAATTTTTTCCTCTTCAATTTTTTCTTCTTCTTTTCAATATGATTATTATTAGAACGGGAGGAACATTTGAAACGTGATTTTTCTTTTTTTTTTTTATTCACCCATCGAATTTGCCATATCTAAAACTAAAACCTTCATTTATCCGATCACCTCTCATGTCGTTCGATATTCTATATTTATTCTACAAGGATAGAATTTATATTATGTTTATAATACGTCATTCATTGGACAAGGAAGAAAGAAAAAAGAAATAAAAAATGAAAAAATTATTATTATTATTATTATTATTATTATTATTATTATTATTATTAGTATTATTATTATTATTATTATTATTATTATTATTATTATTATTACCTTACCAACGTAACGGAAGAATTTATATAATAAAAATAAAACAATTCCAAAAGGACCAAACATATTATCCTTCGAGATTCTCATGATACAAATTAAATTCCTTAAAAAGTTTGGGTTTATATAGGTTAGGACAAAAGTATCCTTCAGTTTAGATTTTATAAATCGATTACTTTGTTTTTAGATTGTAAAACTATACAATACAAAGCTTAGAAATCTTTTTTGGCCTTTGTATTATTTTATATATAAAATAAAATAAAATAAAATAAAATAAAATAAAATAAAATAAAATAAAATAAAATAAAATAAAAACTAATAAATAGTAATGGACGTTCAAGAAACGTTTCGTTCCGAAGTGAGACGTAAAAGAGAAAGAGAAAGAAAAAGAAAGAGAGAAGAGTCGATCGGTCAAAGGTAAATGTATGAACGCGCGAGCACGTCAGGGATTTAAGTGTATGTATGTATTGTATTTAGAATCACTAGCTAGATACAGCTGAGAGCACGCTTTACGAACGAGTCATCCAGCTGAACGCGCGTGAAGACTCGTGTTGCGTCGCTTGGATGCTTCTCTTTTACACTCTCTTCTCTCTCTCTATCTCTCTCTATATATATATAATAGGAGATAGAAAAGGAGTGAGATAGAAAGAGCAAAATGGCGGACGTCAAGCTGACAGACGTCACAATCAGCTGTTTCTTAATACGATGAATACGATGAATACGATGCATAATCGAAGCAAAAAAAAATAAAAAAAATTACTCATCTAATTTCATTCATTTGTTGTTCTCTCTCTCTCTCTCTCTCTCTCTCTCTCTTTCTCTCTCTCTCTCTCTCTCTCTCTCTCTCTCTCTCTCTCTCTCTCTCTCTTAGACACACACACGCACACTCACACGCGCACACACACATAGATTTTTCTAATCTCACGCATCTCACGTCTTAATCATGAATAAATAATAAATCGAAGAAAATTGATTGATAGAATTAGATAAAAAAGAATGATTAGAATATCTGTGAAAGGAATAAAAATAAAAAAGAAAATATATAGATATATAAATATATATATATATATATATATATAATTATAAAAAATATAAAAATAAATATATGTAATGATAAGAAACACACATAAGATAATTTGGATGCATCAGAAACTATCTTAAAAATCACACCTGCGATTATCGTCGTCGTAGCTGGCGGTCCAATAGAGGGGCGCCACTGTCCTGAGTTGGAGATCACGTTCGTTACACGGCAAATCCGAAGATATCAACTATATTATTATTATTATTATTATTATTATTATTATTATTATTATTATTATTATATATCTCCTATATGCCGTCCTTTCACTATGATAATAATATTTTCCGTTATTGAACGGTAATACGTATTATCTTATCTAACACCTCTTTCTCACATTATCTCGTCGAATTTCATTCAAATATTTTCTAATATTCGAATCTGTCACTTTCACAACGGCAATGACGACGACGACGACGACGACGACGACGGCGACGACGACGACGACGACGACGGCGACGACGACGACGACGACGACGATAACGATAACGACGACGATCAAATAAGAATAATAAAAATCATCAAAAATCGATGAGAATAATCACTGGAAATTAACTTGAAATTGTCCTTGATTTATCTTCCTCGATCTCTCTTTATAGAAAAGATAGACTTTTCGAGATAAAGAAAATAAAAAAAAAGGAGGAGCAAAAAAAAATGAAAGCCCGATGCAGCTACGGATGGATTAAGCTCACGTTTTTTCGATATCTCTCTCTCTCTCTTTCTCTTTCTCTCTCTCTCTCTCTCTCTCTCTCTCTGTCTCTTTCTCTTTCTTTTTTATT